AAAAGAAACCACTCACCACGTCGGGGCTGATGAGCTGCAGCAAAAGGCCCAACAGCGCGGCCTTCGCCGCCTTGGGCACCAGCGCAGTGTCAAGCGCGTCAAGAGGTTTTGTCCGGACATCTCCATGTTGATGGTTGATTCCCCGCCAATGCCCGTCTCATGGCACTCCTCGCTGTTGTGGCGCTCTTGAACAGATCGCTTACCCAGGGTGCGGAAGGTCGTGGTGCTCGCCCCGGTCGAAGTGGAACCACCGCCCGTGGGACCACCGGACCTGGTACCGCCACTGCTGTGTGATGTACCAGAAGCTGAACTCTCGTTGCCGTTGATGCCAGTCGACACATGTCTGGATTTAGCCTGGTGTCTTCCTGCGCTCTGATCCGATGACACACCACTGGTTGACCCGCCATCTTCCGAAGAACCAGCGCCAGGCCACCCGGAGGGGGCAACGCCTGAGGCACTGACAGAGCCGCGGCCGCCGAGTAGACCGGATAGTCGACCGCCGCCGCCCACGGATGACGCGCGGCCCATGCCCTATAGCAGCACGGCCGAAGCCTGTTATCCTGTGCAAGTTGTGAACGGGACTGTCACTTTCCACCCCCAGCAGCGAGCACCATTATCGCGTGCATCTTAAAAAAAAAAACGGCCGTGTTCGGTGTTGTTGTTGTTGTTGTCTTCACATTAAAAAAATGATGTGTCGGTGTACAGCAGTAGATTGCTGGACCATCGGTATAATAATGCTCGGGCTGTACCCTAGAGGCAAAACACACCTTACAAGACTAAATGTATCGTAGAAATGACTGGTACAACCCTGGTTGTGTCGACACCCTGGCAGAGGGTTCCTGCCCGTGGACCCTGTGGGGACCGATTACCTAGACAGGTGGTCACAGCGTCCGTACAGGGTCTATTTGCCTGCAGGGTTCACACAGGGGTAGCCGAATGGCTACAGGTGCAAGACAGCAGGGCTGCTGTGCGGCCATGCTCCCACTGGTGGCACTGCTGGGAGCGTCTTGCCATTCGAGGAGGTAGCGGATCGAGGCACCACGTTCCACGCGATGCATGTTCGTGGTAAAATTCCGTCGAACGGCGAGGCATCCGGAAGCAGCACAGCCATGTATTGAACACACCGTCATTCGCGGCGGAGCGCGTTCCTTCCATGAGGTCGGGGGTCATGGTCGTGGACCGGCGCAGCGCAGTGGACGAGTAGACGAGCACGAGGCAGCTGGAATATTTCGCCGAAGGCTCCCGAGGGGAAACAACAGCCACGGCAAGAACCAAGTCAGCGCTGACTATGTAGTGGTCTTTGTAGTGGTCGTTCTTCTCAACAACCGTTCTTGCTGGTCAAACAAGGTCCTAGGTCCCTACCGTGTGTCAGGCTCGTTCCCATCGACCCCCACAAAAGACGAATCGGTGAGAATAATTCCCCGATCGGCCGATCGGTCAATAAATCGGAAGGTTTATCAGAGCACGTCTCCTGGATCCAATCGTTATAACGATGTTAGTCAGAATATAAGCCCAACAAACGGAAGGCAGCTATTATTGTAGTCAGCTCCAACTAAACTGTAGTTGCGCCGCATATTCTAGATTCGTTGCAACCACGTCACAAGAACCCTTAATTGGATTGAGACCCACACCCACATTCTACCAACCGTTTACGAAAATACGACGTGTCGTGTACACATACGTACGTGTACGTGTGTACGGCGCATTGCATACGAGTTCGATAAAAATGGGACGTTTCGGCACAAGTGTGCGGCGGATACTGAAAAAGCACGACCTGGCTCACTGCCGTATAGACTCAATGAGGAGTCTGACCCCCCGCGTTGGGCACCCCCGGGAGTTGCGCATCAGACACGCCCGACACTTTTCAAGAAGCCCGCAACTCCGCAGGGACGCGCCTCCAGCTGCTGAACAGGTGTGTTCTGTCGCCTTCACTCGATCTTATTTGAAGGCCCGGGGGGCGATTTTGTCGGCAGTCATGACTGCTGCTACACGGGGACACTCCTCACATAGGACCCTCCGATTTGATTTCTTGCATTGCGAGCATGCGCCGTCGCCGTGTACCAGCAGCTTGTCGTTAACGTAGACCCTTCCAACACCAGAAACGCGCATTACATACATACGAGGTAGGCACGCCTTATAGGCGATGGTTGACTTCAATGTTTCATGTGCCCATGATTCCCAGCAAATCCGTACGAGCCAACAGAGGTGTGCAGCATCGTTCGGACTGCTCGGCGGAACCCAAACATCTTTCACTTGTCACCAAAGATACACAACCAACCCCGACATACAACCTACTATTGAACGGAAGGTGCCAAACTGTCCGTCACATGGGGGTGGCCAACTGCCATCAAACCGCCGGTTGGTTGTTTTCGGCTTTGAAGTAGTTGTGAGCTGAGTCTCTCAGCCTGGTTGTGTGCATTCCGAACAAGGATACTATCCAAACCACGAGTGAGTTGGATGGCAACCCCAACCTGAAGCGCTCTAGATTGTAGCAGCTGACACACCCCACCGTATTTTCCCGTTCTTTCGACTTCGTTTGCCAAGGTTGTTCACGTGGGAAATGTCTTCTAAGGGAGGAGCAAGTTCTGGCGGCGGAGTTATTGCGACAGGGCAGGACGACAGCGACGACGGAATTCGGCGGTCAAAGCGCCCAAAACAATATACTGACGACCAAACGTGGAGCAAGGCTCAAGAAAAGGCGTACTACCGACCGCCGAACAACTTTCTCCCGGCGGATCACCCCGGAGGAGACTGGGTGCAGC